CACCGCCGTGCTTCACATCATGAGAACCTGAAACATTGTGAAATTCGTCCCAGCAGCTTCCTCAAAATAACACTAACTAAAAACAGTAACGACAACCCAGTGAACTGTGAGCTGAAGCGAAGGCGGAGCAGCTCATGACTCAGCGGTAACACAATAGTGTGAGTCGGCGTGTAACCGAGATACAAACTCATCCTTTAGGATTCTTTGTGACTCCGTCAGAGCTCACAAGTTACACAATTAGAGCAGTGACACAACGAACCACAGTGAAGGTGTGTTCAGTCAGGAAACCGCTGAGCCTGTCGAAGCAGAAAATCCACCAGGATCAACCGGAAAAGTCAGACAAACACCCCCGACGGGAGCTTTTCTAATTACACATTTACCCAATTAAGTCTGAATCAGATTCGTTCATGTAATTAAAGCATTTAGGAGTTCGTGTGTTGAACTTTATCACCCTGAAGACGTCCTGTTAGAGACAACAGGGACTCACACAGTGGAGTCAAACCACCACAAAGATGTGTCACCAGTGGAAACGTTGTGGCTGTTTGTGCGTATTTGTCGAGTCTTCCTGGATGTTTTCTGTCTGTAGTGGATTTACAGTCTCTCACTGTTTGTTTGTGTCGCTTTGAATCTCATGCTGCTTGTTTTTTGTCATTTAGCATCTCAGGTTTGTCGTTTTTTATCTGATTTTGGTCATTTTGAATGGATTAGGTTGGGTTAGCAGGCTGACATGTTTTATACACGTCTCAGTATTTAATGCATAAATAACCTGAAACACATACATGTACGTGTTGATATTTCCATACGTGAAGCATGTGCAGCTTGTTCTGTTGGAGCTGTGATACTGAACAGACGTTTGACCGCACAGGCTGAAACCAAAAAAACCCACCAACAGTAAATGGGCTTTACAGTAAACAGCTCCACCCTCATTAGGAGGTAAACACATCACGTCCATCATGTCCGCTGAGTGGCTCCAATCAAGTTAGCATCGACTTAACATTGTTTCAGAGAACACGAACCCAAGACTGAAATAACCTCAGCAGCAGCAGCAGCAGCAGCTCGTTCTAAACGCGACAAACAGCCAGAAGTGGACAGAACATCAAAGACGTGACTGGAGGTATAAAAAGTCTTTGGTTTCCTATTTTTAAAGCAGGGCAGCGCCTCAGTGGAGCAGAAACTACGCAGTGTGTCGGGTTAGACACCTGTGGAAGATGGAAACGCCCTTATCTACAGAAAACAATACAGCGCACACCTGTAGAGCTCAGCTAAATGTCAAACCACTCCTCCTGCTAGTTTAACAGTCCACAACGTCCGCTTATGAACAATCAAAAACAAAAAAGGGAGACTAGATTTAAAATTAAGGCCCAAAAGTGCAAAATCAACACGACAAAAGTGAGTCCAGCTGTGATTTCTGATCAACCTGCCTGCTCCAGATGTTTGGTGTGAACCAGACCAGGACCACCACAGTGAAGCACGGAGGTGGCAGCATCATGATGTTGGGCTGCATGAATTTAAAAATGTGGATAAACCAGAATACTGGCTGACAACATCACACAAGAGGTTCAACACATCTCTGAAGTGTTTGAAAGAAAAGGGAACACAACCCGCAAGCGAAGAGAAAAAAATGCTTCTTAAGAATGTCGTCAAGAATAAAGATGTTTAAATAATGTATGTGGACCCTTTGTTCCATTAGCAGACGAGCTAATGAGGCGGTTTGCGAGAGCTTCGGTTTCCTTTTTGAATGACTTCATGCTGAACAAAATGTCAGCAGGGAAGTTTCGAGACTTGTCGTGACCGATTAGCATTAGCCCGGCAGGCTAACGTTGTAGCCATTAGCTCACTAGCTAAAGTAGCTCTCCCCCGGTAAGAACTATTTTGCCAAAGCACATGGAGGAATTTTGCTGTTCCACCTTCCTGAGAGAACAAGAAAAGCTCTTCTTCTGTGAGCTTTAGCCTAGCTTAGCATACACACATGGACACCAGAGGAAAATGCACATCTGTCTCCACCAAAACTGGAAATAATTCACCTTCTAACAACTCGTGGGTATGTTTTCAGCAGGTGTAGGTCAACAAACAACTCCAGCGCTACCGTCTGATGAATTCTCAGGAAGTTCAGATGTAAAAGATCAGATTCAGGGCTGATCAAGGCTTATATAGATGATGCTGATCTATATCAGCACGAATCTACGCCAAGTCCCTTGTTTACATCTATCGTCACAAATAGAAAGCACAGGAAGTGACGGAACATGTTTGAATGTTTTTCTCAATAGATAAATGGCAGCATCATCAATCAATAATTGATTGATTGTTAGCAAAAAGTTCAAACAGTGGAGATTTGTCAGGTGCTAACGTTGCTAATTTTGTCAACGAACACTCTGTTGGTTCCAGTTTGTCTGAACCACATGACCTCTAGTCAGAGGCCATTAACCACCACATGGTCCCGTTGCTGCTAAACTCCCACAATGCTCTCTGCTGCCAACATGAGCTGTAGTCTGAGTGACGCCTCCTCTGGTCTCTAGAGGATTAAACAGGAAGAGGCTCCACCTGGTGGAACAACCAGGTACTGCAGCTAAACCCATAAACTTGACTAAAACGTCTCGATACGTCTCCAGAACGACTCAAAATTGGTCTAAAATCCTCAAATCTTGTTCGTATTTTCTCAGAACTGAATCGTCCTGAAAGAAAAATCCTGAAAATGACTAAACTTTTGTCTAAAATTACTTAAAACTTGTCAAAAATTACTTAGAAATTGTCCAAAATGATTCGAAACCACATCGGTACTTGCTAGCTAAACTCCCACAATGCTCTCTGCTGCCAACATGAACTTCCTGTAGCCTGAGTGACGCCTCCTCTGGTCTCTACAGGATTCAACAGGAAGAGGCTCCACCTGCTGGAACAACCAGGTACTACAGCTGGTCTACATCATGTAGAGAAAACAGGTTTTCAAAGTTTACCAACAAGGTTCCACCTGCAGAACATCAAGGAACAGACTGGATGCAGAATTAATAAATGTGTTGCAGATCTATTCATAACTTTGAAGCACTTGGACCGAGTATTATCTGGAAAGATGGTATCAGACTGAGTCAACCAACGTGACTGAGACACCCCTAAACATTCCTTCAGTCGCTCCACCTATTGAAACAACAACAATGTGGTTTAGCATCAGTCAAACACGTAGCGTCACGTTCGTGTTGAGCAACGATGTAAAGAAAAAGGACAGAGTTGGACCAACAGGTGAGCCGTTTAATTAATGGACCAGCTGGTAGAAGACGGCATGAGGAGATCCAGACGAGGGACCAAAGCTTCACACTGAAGGACTGAAGCAGAGAAAAAAAATAAAAGTGTCTTCTGAGGAGAATTCAGGTGAAACTCTGAATGTCATTCAAAACGCAGCAGACGGTGAGCGGGAGGCCAAGGGAGCGACCGACCACGCCCTGAAACTGAATGAAGGTTTGTTTGTGGAGGGGGAGGTGATGCAACCTGTTCCACAAAGAGAAGCAAACTGCTGCGAGATGGCTGGAAACAGTAGAAGAACAGTAGTAGTGGAACAAGAGCAGAGAGACACCTGAAGAAGAAGCCAAAACAAACTCTCATCCTTGTTTTGTTGTTAGAAGTTGCTCCAGAGCTTCACCAACTAGAAAAACAAACTTATTAGTTAAGTCCAAGCCAGCCTGACAGATGCTCGGTGAGAACACCTGTCCCTGGAGTTCACCTGTGAAGCCCGAGCAGCCGACTCACCCAGAACAGCAGGTTGAAGAAGAAGAGCAGGTACTTGATGCATTTGTTCACAGCCATGGTCCCGGTGTTCACGTCGGTCTTCTGTCGGTGGGTTCGGAGGCGACTGCAGCACCGGCGTCCTTCACTCTGGAGCACAAACACAGAATCTGCTGCGAGCGGCTGAAGTGCAGCCGGTTGGACCCGTTTCCTTCCAGCGGCGCCGCCTCCAGCCTCCAGCTCCTCATCGGAAACTCCCCCTTTGTCTTCTTCCCTCCTTCTTCTCTTTTCTTTCCTTTATTTCACTCCAGAGGCAACAAAAAAAGACATTTTATCTCTGAGCAGGATGAAAACCTGTTTAATGAAACACATTTATTCACTTACTTACAGACTTTAGTTCAGTTTTATTCTCATTCAGACATGTTAAACACACACAGCAGAACCCAGAAGAAATAACGTTTTGGAGCAAATACGTCAAATAAACCTGTGATGAATAATTAAATAACCTTTAATCCTATAACAGCAGAACACATTATGGCATGTAAATAAATTATTAGTGCATCGATAAGCGAAGCAGCTCAACCTGCAGCGTCGGCTCGACTGTTTTTATCTTTATTTAATCATGAATATTTCATTTCATCTGTTGTTTTTCATTCATAACACGACGTTGATGTTGTTTGTGTTGCTCTATTTTACTTTTTATTGTAAAATGTTCTCTATTAAGTCCAATTTATTGATAAAGTTATTAATTTACTGACTAAATTAAACCTTTAAGCTGCTGACGTTGCCGTGAAAGGTCGCTTTGGTTGATTTAAAATAACTTTGTTTGTTGGCTCACGATCGTGGAGTTCAGTCGGGAAAATTAATCAGATATAAATTTAAAATCATTTTTTTGTGCCTCATTAAATAAAATTGGCAAAAAGTAAATATTTCTCACCAGATTCTGTGAAAAACTGAAACTTACGCACCAGAATTTAGTGATTTAAACGAAGCCTTGAAGCTGCAGGTCGTGTTCATAATAGTGTTGAATCTGTTTCATCTCGTGTCTAATTTAAAGTGAACTTTAATGATAATAACATTAATCTGAACAGTTACGTGTTTTATTTTGCAATAAAACAAACGTCATGTTGGAAAAATCATTTAAAAAAAAGTGATCAATACAAGAACAAATGTTTTAATGAAACTCGTTTGAGACAATTTAAGATGTTTGTCGTAACAAAATTAATTAATATTGGTCAGAATGTTTTACTTTAGTTCTTTTTAATCCATGAAGCTTCAAATCCTCGTTTATCAGAACATGTTTCTACGTGAACAGAGCAGCTCAGAACAGATCCTTCGACGTTTTCACCTGTTTTGTTTCATTCTGCAGGTTTTCTGTTTGTATTCTGTGGTTTTTTTTCTGGACTATTTTTCCATCCGGCTGCTTTGTTCCTGTGATTCACAATGAAGGCAGAACAGAACTCCAGCAGATAAGATCTGAAGCCAGACGGTTAAACGTTCACTTCAGCTCCTTTAAGTTTCCTGTCTCCATCTAGTGGCAGCTCCATGAAACTACAACACAATCAGTAAACTGTTGTCCAGCTTCTCTCAGACCTTCAGCTGGTTTCCATCAACACCGACACAGAAGAGTTTAAAACCTGCAGTTCCTCAAACGGCCACTTGAGGCTCCAACAGTGAGTCTGTCCCCATAAACCTTCACAGTAAAACAGTTTTCCTGGATAATACGCGTAGTTTTATGGTCCATATTTGACATCTGATCCCAATAAATTCATGTTTATCACATTAATAACTAATTTTTAAAGCCAAACATTGAACCATTAAAACAAGAAGTCCGGTCAGCAAACTACGACTCTCTGCCTCCATCTAGTGGCAGCTCCACAAAACTACAACTGAATCAGTGAACTCCACAGTCGAGTTCATTCCTTTATCGTCCACAACAGCCAACAGGTACCCCAAGAAATACAAACATGAACTGACCCAAAACCTGCAGTTCCTCAAACGGCCACTTGAGGCTCCGGGGTCCCCGTAAACCTTCACGTTAAAATGTCCGATTTTATCGCAGAAATAAACACGTTTAGTCGAGTCCCGAGACTTTTCTGCTTCCAAAAGTCGTATTTAAATCTTCCAAATGATACACATTCAAAAATAGTTCAGCTGCAGTACCTGGTTGTTCCACCAGGTGGAGCCTCTTGCTGTTTAAGGATTCTTAAATATTTCGTCATGCAAAACCAAGTTGTGCAAAAACTGTTCATCAGCGTGGAAGGTTCATTAACAGTTGTGTAGTTGTTGCATCAAAATAAGAGCGTAGGGGGCGACAAAATCACGCAAAAGTTAGTCTGGAAATTTATTGAACACGTGAAATTCTGCGACGTGTTTGGAACTGAAAGAGTTTACTGACGATACTCAGTGAATATTCAACTTCAAAACATTTCTTAGTCTGCGCTGCGACTTCAGGACCTAATAAAGCGTTTTATCACTTTTTACTTGAGGTTCAACAGAAACAGAACGCTAACGGACAAAACACAAGGAAACAAGTTCAGCTAGCTTTCCTGCTAATTTGTGAAAGTAAAAAACAGTCTTTACATGAACTAAACTTCAGGAACCACCGGCTCCACTGGACAAACTCCAAAACTAGAAACCCAAAGTGTGTCCGGTCCAGTCCAGCTTCAGTAGTTTCTGCTGAAGTGCTGGTTGACCTTGAAAATGGCGACGAACAAAGTGAGGCCGATGAGGAAGAACTGGTTCTGCTCCTTCAGCCAGACCAGAACCATCTTGACCTGGCCGTCCGAGTCGTGGTACTCCATCAGGAAGTGGTCGCCGCTGTAGTCCGACGACGGCGACTTCTTCACCATGCGGATGTGAATCGGCGAGCTGACGCACCAGAACGGTTTCTGGAACTCGTCCAGCAGCGTCAGCGTCATGACGCAGCAGTTCTGCAACGAGAAACAACCGTCGGCGCTGGAAACGGGTCGGGTTTCTCTTTCTTGCTCTTCAACAATATTATCATCTGTTGAAGAGCAGCTTTGCAGCAAGTTAAATTATTTTGAGTCAATAAATTAAATTTCACCATAAATAAGTTAATCCAATAAAGTTTTTTCTTTTTAATTTGTTTTATTTTGAATTAAAAACAAGAAAATGTTTCTTTTTTTGGAAACATTTTTTGTTTAGAATTTTTAGAAAAAGAAACAAAAATGCTTCTTTTTTCATTTTTAATTTTAAAAATGAGAAAACGGCCTCTTTTTTAAATTATTTTTTTAAAATTTCACTTTGCATTCACATTAAAAATCAAGCGAAATCAAGAAACGACTCGTTTTTCTTTTAGTCTGATTTCTTTTTGTCCATCAACCTCATAAATCAAAAACCGCAGGTGGAAGGAGAGGACGACCTGGAAGTGACTTTCAAAATAAAAGTCAAACGTGTTTTGGGTACTAAAGTATAATATAAGTGTTTTCCTATTAAATTATAAAACAAAACAAAACTGACAAAGTCGTCGTTTATCTCTTTTAAAACAAAAACTAAAAAATCTACAAAATCGGTCATTTTTTCTGATAATGTGACAAATGTATGAAAAAAATCAGGTTTCCTGTTTTGAACTAAAACACTAAACATTTAGGAAACGTTTCCGTATTGCTGCCTCTTGGTGGCGCTAACGTTCCCCATACGTTCAGATTTACCTCCACCGAACCCTCCAGCGCGTCGCTCTTCCACGGCAGCTTGAAGCTTCCAGACAGAGACCTGTGCTCAGACAAGTCGCTTCTGTTGATGACGTCCAGCTTCACGAGTCCACGTTTGACCTGAACTGAACCAGAACCAGCACAGTTACAGTCAGACCCGTCCAACATCCACACACGGGTCAAATATTCCAAGTCCGGCAGAGAACGCTTCAGACAAATCAGAACCGGTCGAGCAGAAGCCGTTAATCTACAACCTGCTCTCTGAACATGCAGGACCTTCGTCTTCTGTCTGAGCAGTTAGCATCCGTTAAATCGGTTTAATCGGACCTCTTTTTGTTCTTCCTTTATCAGCGTGGACCGTCCAGATGTGTCGACTGTTCTGATGCCCGCTTATTTCACACATTCAACACACAAAGGCCACTTAAAATACTTTAAATTGTGCATTAAATTGTATAAAGACAGACAAAAACAGTGTGAAAACATTCAGAAATACAAGATTTAAAGTTAAAGAAAGTACAAGTTGGACTAAAACCTACAGGAAACAGAAAAGTGATTCATGGATTCAGGTCAGTGGAAGAAGGAACCAGAGCTGGTTTCTGTCAGTTCACATCGATTTGTTTGTTGAATGAGTCGTTTTGTGTAATTAAACACGTTTGTACGAGAAGAATTACTGGAAATAAGGAAGAGAGCTTCAATAGAAACTCGTTAATCTAAAAGGCGACCAACAGGTCTGGGTTTTCCAGGTGTTTGGTTGAATCTCTACACGTAGAACCTTCTGTGTAATCAGATTACCTTGGCTGCAGGACAGCTGGCGGAAGTGTCCGGACATGATCTCGGCTCCAGTGTTGTGCAGGACGAAGTGCAGACTGTAACCATGGAGACCGAAGTCTGGGTCCGAGTCGTCCGCCGGCGGCGGGTCCATTCGATCGGCGTACGGGCTGCAGGACGGATGGACTTGTTTGTTTTAATAGTAGCTTCGTAATATCGACCACTAGAATGTAGGAACCCGGTTCTGATCAACCCCAAGTCATTTAAATGTATGAGATCTAGTCGGAGGTCGTCAACCTCCACATGGTCCTGTTACTGCTAAACTCCCACAATGCTCTCTGCTGCCAACATGAGCTGTAGCCTGAGTGACGCCTCCTCTGGTCTCTACAGGATTAAACAGTGAGAGGCTCCACCTGGTGGAACAACCAGGTACTACAGCTAAACAAAAAACTGACCAAAACATCATGAAACTTCTCTACAGTGACTAAAACTTTCCCAAAACTACTCAAAGATTGTTCATAATGACTCGGTAGTTGCCCTAAACGGCTGAAAACTTTCACCAAATATGAAAAACTTGTCCAAAATGTCTTCCAATTAGTCCACTTAGGACTCAAAAGTTGCCTAAAGTGTTTCAAAAATCGCCCCAAATGAGAATCATTTGTCCAAAACCACTTTAGCTCTAGTCGGAGATCATGAACCTCTTCAGAGTCTCTGTCATGGTCCCGTTGCTGCTCAACTCCCAATTCTGGTCTCTACAGGATTAAACAGTGAGAGGCTCCACCTGGTGGAACAACCAGGTACTACAGCTGGTCTACATTTACTGACATCATGTAGAGAACTCAGGTGTCCTCCGTCTCGTGGAGCTCGTCCGTTATGGAGACGTGAACTCACCTGACTGGAGATCCCAGCAGACTTCTCTCCACCAGCTTGTGGAAGTGCAGGCTGGCCATGATGAAGGCTACGCTGTTGTGACCCTACGAGCACAGAACTGTCGACTTTATACGTGTGCGTTATGAGAGTACAGAATGAATGCTCAGTCAGGTGCATTTATAATCGTCCACATAAACACAAAATGTGAGGCAGCAAACACAAGACCTGGTTCAGTGGTTCCTGTTGTTTTGTGCTTGTAAACTTTTGGACATCCAATCAGCAGAAATCTGTATATCGTAGATCATGAAATTAGAGAAGATTTAGGAGGGTTTTACTAAAGAAAGCCGGCTAAGCCTCCAGACACACTTAATCCTTAATTTTGCTTTGCCTGCCATTCGCCAAATGAGTAAAACCCAACCAATGTCGAAGTCAGTTTTAGGGAGTAAAGAAACTCAAAATTGTTAAAAGTACAAATGCGACTAGCTGCTAGCTAAACTCCCACAATGCTCTCTGCTGCCACCATGAACTGTAGTCTGAGTGACACCTCTTCTGGTCTCTACAGGATTAAACAGTGAGAGGCGCCACCTGGTGGAACAACCAGGTACTACAGACAAACAAAAAACAAAAACCTTGACCAAAACACCATGAAACTTCTCCACAGTGACTAAAATTTGTCCAAAACTACTCAAAGGTCGTTCAAAAGAACTCAAAAACTTGTCCAAAATGTCTTCCAATTAGTCCAAAATTTCTCAAGAATTGTCAAAAAGTGCTCAAAAGTTGCCAAAAAAGAGAATAATTTGTCCAAAACCACATCCTAATCAATCCTAATTTGACTTAAACACTTCAGCTCTTGTCGGTGGTCATTAACCTCCTCAGAAGTCCTTGTGGTACCCGTTGCTAGCTAATCATGAACTTGCCTGTTACAGTCCTCTATCTTAAATTATGGATCATGAGGTACCAGAGGTGTCCGTCTCCATTTTCATTAAAACACGTCAAAGCATCATCTGGGTTATCTGTTAAAAATTTACCCTCCAGATGCCGACGATGAAGCCCGGCGGCAGATACATCAGGTTGATCAGTTTGTCTTTGCCGAAGAACTGATACGGGTTGGTCTTCATGTCCAGCTTCAGAATCAAAGAGCGCCAACCGGGTCTGTGGGAAGAGGAGAGTCGGGATCACTGGGACTTTCTCAATACGGATTACAATGTACGAATTTAAAGGAGGTTAGTAAGCGTCAGAAAAGTGTCGGGCCGGACCTGAATATCTGAATATTTGGTCATTGTGGTGGAATCCGGATCGCAATTGTGACATCAGCAACGGCTATCCTAAACTGCCTTTAGCAGCCAAGCACTGCCGGTGCATCCCGCCTACTTCCACCCTGTCGGAGCGCACAAAACCCCATCCCGTCAGTCCGAATACTGACCTGCCACCCGCCGCTATTCCCCCCCACGTCGGACCAAGTATTCGGATATTCGTCATCGAACAGGCCCGAAGATCCGGAGCCCAGAAATTGCTATTCAGACCAACCCTACCAAGTGTCCTGGTGTCCTTTCCTAGCTAAACCCCCAGGATGCTCCCTGCTTGCTAACATGAAGTCTGAGTGACGCCTCCTCTGGTCTCAATCGTATCAAACAGTGAGAGGCTCCACCAGGTGGAACAACCAGGTACTGCAGCTGGTCTTCGATACATTTTCTGACATACACGACGTTGTTCTTGTGTTTTATTGGTCAATGTGTAACAGTTGAATTAAGAAAAAATGACTAAAATGCTCAAAGAGGGACACAAAAGAACCACAATTTGATGCAAGACGACCAAAATTCAACACAAATCAACCAAAACATGATTTTATAAACTGCCACATAAGTCGTTGTCATGATGACTGTTGCTAGCTAAACTCCCACAATGCTCTCTGCTGCCAACATGAACTTCCTGTCATCTGAATGACGTCTCCTCTGGTTTCTACAGTGTTAAACAGTGAGAGGCTCCACCTGGTGGAACAACCAGGTACTACAGCTGGTCTACAGGACATTTACCTTCTTCTTTATCTATTCATAAAAATGGAATGGATGCACCAAGTGTGTCCGACCTCCTGGCTTTGGGGCTCTTCGGGTTCTCCTTCAGGTTCTCCTTCCTGACTCCGTGCAGCTGGATGCTGCGGATGTTGCGGTACAACGGGAAGCTGCCGCCTCCACTCCAGCGGATGACGACGGACGACTCGAAGAAGTACGCTCGGCTCTGCTCCAGCACCACCTCCCTCCCCCAAGAGTTGCACACCGTCAGCTCCCAGCTCACGTTCAGGTTCCTGGAAAAGACAAACGAGGACGAAACAACGGGACTTGACTAATGTTTGGGATTTTACAGATGTTCAGCGGTTTTAAAGCGGCACCTTGTTGGATTCACACCGTTTAAATGCAATCTGGTTCTGAGGAGGTCGGGTGACGGGTGTTTCACAGAACGACCCTGAACTGAAACTGATAAATGTCGTGAACAGTCGGCTACCTGAGGACCCACTCGGTCTGCCGGGGCAGTCCGGTGTACGGACTGATGTCTCGCAGTTCCTTCCTCCACTTGTTCATTTCCTGTCCGGCGATGGTCCTGAAGTACATCTTCTTCCAGCATCCCGATTGGTTCTCCTCCACCAGGTTCATCGAAGCTTCGTCCACCGACTTGGGCCTCCAGGTCTGACTCCCAAACTCGGACATGTACATCTTCTGCCACACGACGCTAAAGTTAGAGGAAGTCACAGCGAGACACTGGCTGCAGGGAAGTTCACTTCACAATAAAAGCCCTCGAGCTATTTCATGATTAAAAACAAAACCTCTCAAACCAGTTCTAAGTAAAAGTCCTGCAACTTCTTCACAACAAAAGCCCTCACACTACTCCAAAGTTAAAGCCAATCAGCTGTTTCACAATAAAAACCCACAAACCGCTTCAAATTAAAAGCCCTCAAGCTACCTGACAATAAAAACCTCCCACTTGCTTCACAATAAAATGTAAAAGTGAAAAAAGTAAAAGTCCTCCAGCTGTTTCACAACAAAAGCCTTTCAGTCGATTTTAATATTCAGAATCTGAACCGTCGACTCACTCGTCGTTGGCGAGTCGGTGGAACAGTCGGCTAACGTGACTGACGCAGAACAGCGACGAGGCGTCGAGGTACGACAGGATCTTTATCAGGATCTCAGGAGGCAGCCTGGAGACAGGACAGAGATGTTACCATGGAGACGGGATGGACATGTTCAACCAATCAGCAGCCGGAAGCAGAAAACATCCAGGAAGTGGACATAAATCAGGACAGGACGTGATATTTACATTAATCGTCTTTGTTTCTGTTCTCATCTTGTTCTCGTTAATCAGGTTTCATCTTAAATAAATGAAGTTAATCGGCTCATTTTGTATAATTAATGATATTCCAGCATCAGAACCTTAACGTCTAACTTAATCAGGTACATTTCTATAATTATTTTATTGTGAAATCTGGAAACTAATTTTTAAATCGGTTTGGTACATTTCCATAAATAATAATATCGTGTGGTTTAAACTTTGACAGTTAAATTAAGACGTTTGACATCATAAAAAGTGTTTCCGGTGAGAAGTTAAACGTCTAAGCAGACAGGATGTGACGTCAGCCCGACAGGTGAACTCACCTCTCCACCAGGTTCTGCGTCTTTCTGTCTTTCCGTTTCTGAGCTGAGCGGCTGGAAAACAAAACAAAACAAACAAAAACGAGTCAAATTAAATCCAATCTGGTGAAAAACTTTTAAGCGCCTCTGGAGCTCGTCCCGGCTCCGTCCATCACCTGCTCTCCGTCCCGGTCAGCGGGCTGCGGGCGGCCCTCGGACCCGGTCCAGTCCTCCCCGGACCCGGTCTGTCCCTCCTCAGCCTCCGTCCTCGCTTCCCCGGGCCCGGTGCTCCTGTCCCCGGGCCCTCCGGTCCGGGCTGCCGCTCCAAACCCTTCAGGAGGCTGCTGAAGAACTCGCCTCGTCCCGCCGCCATGACGGTGCTCGCTCCGCCGCTCCGGCAGGGGGCGCTGCTGCTCCACCGGGTCGGACGGAGGATGAACGTTTATCATTAACGTCAGAAAATATATAAAACACGGCTCAACTTTAATATTTAAATCAGTCAATAAATAAGATTATTATAAAAAATAAAGCAATAAAAATATAGTTTTAATCCTTAATAAATATAATAATGTAAACATTAAATAAACGTTTTTAATTAGTTTACAGTGGCAGCGGGGGTTTTAAAATAGTCAACTAAATATGAAAAATAAAAAAAAATACATCAGATACTGCAGAGATTTAACTTTAATATTAACTTAATGTCAATAATCATTTTACAGGCACAGCAGGAATGTTTAATTAGTCAAATAATTTTATATAATAAATAATAATGGAGGGATTTCACTTTAATATCATATAATATGATATTTAAATCAGGCAGATAAATATTATAATATATTGAAATTAGTACTTGATTAAAGAGTCCTAAACAGATAATATTTCAGATTAACATTTTAATAACTTGGATACGTTTATATAATAAATAATATTGTGCAGTTGTATCCTAAATATTTATTATAATTAAAAGTATATTTTAGGCTCCTAACTTGAATATTTAAATTAGGTGTATTTATATATTAAATAAATAATATTGTGCAATTGTATCCTGAATATTTATTATAATTAAAAATATATTTTAGGCTCCTAACTTTAATATTTAAACTAGGTGTATTTCTATATTAAATAAGAATTATTATTATTTAAATTAGTTAAGAGTGTATTATAATATATGTAAATTCATCTCTTGAAGTTGTAACTGTTGGATCTTAAGGTTAAAATATTAAAAGAAAAAGACGTCGACTGACCTCAACTATCATCATAAAGGCCTGCGTTTGATTCTCCGTCACCTCCAGTGTTTTATCGGGAACATTTGATCCTTGGTGTACGTTTTATATCGTTCTACTTTCTCTCATTCAGAACCTGAACCAGACTTCAGCATAAAACACATTTTATTGTTTTATTTCTCTTCATTGTGAGTCCGATACGTTATCAAGAGACTTTGGACTGAATCCTCCGTCAGCAGCAGGAAGCAGAAAAGTTCATCTTGAATAAAACACGAGCAGAGAAGCTTTAAACACGAAGTGAAACTCAAAGGAGCTTTATAACCTGTAAATAATCACCTGGGGAGGTTTCATGCTTTTAACTACCCTGAATTAAAATTACGACGTCGTTTTAACTCGATAAATTGCTCTTGGTGACTTTAAATACATAAATAAAAGAAAATGGCCAAAACTGGAACAGTGTCCACGTAAAAAAAATAAAAGTATATTTATAAATATTTGATTTAATCTATTATTTTTTTCAGTGTGTGAGTGTAAAAGAATCATGTAGATTAAAAGTTAAAAACTATTTTTTACAATATGTAACCATAACGTTATCGTCTTACTGTAATCAGCTGAATATATAATTACTTTACAGATATTTGGTGTTATTCTCACAGTTTTCACAGATTTCACAGGTTTTTTTTGTTGTTTTTTGCTCCTTTGCTGCCAGATTTGGGATTTTTTTTTTATTCATTTATTTATTTTTCTGTAGAGACTGCAGAAGAATGAGCGGTGAATAAATGTCACGTCTGAACAGCTGCGACGTTACGGCGCATGCAGCATGCGCGGGTGAACATTTGCACAGTAAGTGGATATTAATTTAGACCCATAATCCCTTGCAGCGAGTCACACTCTCTCGGGTTACAGGAGTGTGTGTGAGTCTGACCTCCTCCTGAGCTGCCGTCGGTCCAAAATAGACTCTCAGGTTCGTTTCCACGTGTTTGCGGCGAATCTCGTTTGTTTGGCCGCTCGGAGAAGAAGACATCCCAAACATCAGATTAACCAGATTAACCCACATCATCATGGCCGCCGCCGCCGCCGTGTCACCGTGACGACCGCTGAGTCAGCAGGCGACTCGGGGGCAACGAGTTCAGGCTGCGAGGCTGTAGATGAAGATATGACTGTAAACTGTACATAAAATAAAAGATTAAAACCTTAAAGCTGCGTTCTTTCTAGCGGCCAGCAGGGGGCGACTGTTCTGATCGCAAAAACAAGATTAATAATAAAAGTCGACTGCGATAAAGACGGAACTAATTCATGAAAGTCACCAATAACAGACGTCTGAAGTTCAGGTTGTTGCATTGTTACATCTCATGTCGCTTAATGCGCTGTTGAGTCTCATCTGTCGGACAAATATTGTACAATTAAAGTAGCGATAAAGTAGTCGCCGTCTGAACGGGATTTAAGATCATAAGCATGATTAGCATGACACCTGCTAATGTTACATCGCAACCACATTATTAGCAACGTGTAAATACTTTTATGACTGCGTCTTAAACCTGCAATCTATCTCGCGGCCAGCAGGGGGCGACTCTTCCGGTCTGATTGTACAAAAGTCTTCTCGTTTGATTTGTTAACATAGTAAAGGTTTTCCAAGCAGGTTTATGGTCTCGATTAGTAGCGTCACGTCTTCTTTACTGCAGCTTGATGTTTATTTTGTAATTTATGATCCAATTTAGAGGAAAACAGATGATGAAATAGTTTCCGTTTTAGGGCGGGGCGTGTTGCTGCTTTATCCTCGAGTTCTTCATTCAGATCCAAAAGTTCCAGATGGCGGCGGCTGATTTCCAGACACGAGGCTTCAAAACATTCGTCTCCAAGCGAAGATGAGAAGCAAACAATCAGCCCTTTTTTTTTTATATATCAACCTGCAATTTAGTACACGTGTGGACAAGAAATGTGGTAACCAGGACATGTGGAATTAATATACATTTATTTACTCTGATGTATTTAATTTAACCCAATAACAACAGTTTTGTGATGTTTCAGTGACAACTTATGAAGGAATGTCAAAGAAAGTGGCGACAGACGGTTAGTAAATGGCTTAAAATAAAATTAAATGACAAGAACAACATGTTGTTTTTCCATTTAAATGCAGTTTAACAGTTGAAATCATGACCTGACGTTTGATTTTGCACCTGCAGCACTGAAGCAGGTCACATCTTGTTCCAACATAACTCCAATAATTACTTCATGTCATAAAGCTGCCAATCTGATAATATTTCAACATCAAACACGGTTTTATTTATTTGTTTGTCTGTTCTGAATCCACGACTCAGCTCCGGTATGTTTGGCACAAACACTCTCCCGCTGACTCACCTGTACCTGCTTTTTTTCGGGTCGACCGGCTTCCTCGCACTCCGATTGGCTGGCACGGTTAGAGTGGGCGGGGCCGGGTAAAACGGTGTCGGGTTTATTTTGGAGATTAATCCGTCAGAGGGAGATGAGACGCTGAGTCACTTATCTCCTCCTCGTCCTCCTCCTCTTCCGCCTCCTGAACAAGTGTGAACTCCTGCAGAGAAACACTTCTCACCGACGCTGTTGACGCGAAAGCTGCAAACTGTTATTTTGAGGAAACTCGAGGCGGTGTTAGCGCTTCTTCACAAGTCACTGTTTACATCGGGTGCTTTCCAACATCACACTAATACGCCGGCGAACAGATCTAGCGTCTCCCAGTACATGGTACGTCAAATGCAGAACGCCAACCTGGACTTCCTGTTGGATTCAGATGGATTTAGCGGTTAGCAGCTAGCATACTTACTGCCCATTCTGACCTACAATCCTCTGAAGATACGTCACGGTTTCTCGTGCGAGTATAAACAAGTTCAAGAAAGCAAATGACAGCTCATTTCACATTAAAGCTGCAACCGTAAGAGTTTAAGACACGATATGATGAAGTAGTGTTTCCCAGTGGTAGGGATGTCCAGATCAAGGTTAGTCATTTATAACGATACAGTGATCCAAGATAAGAAACACTTCAAGGATTAGCTGTAGTACCTGGTTGTTGCTGTTTAATACTGTAGAGACCAGAGGAAGCAGGTAATTCTGTGTTAGCAAGCATCGAGGAAGTCTAGCTAGCAAGACTTACTGACATCAGGCCAGCAAACGAGCGTTAGCTTCAGGTGGGATAAACCAGGACGATGATTCTACGTCCCAGTGGAACATTTCACGGATGTATTTTAGATTCTTTTTAACATTTTTGTAGGAGATCGGACGCGATCAAGTAACAAAGCACAGGTTTGTGTTGATACCATCCATCCATTATCTATACACCACTTAATAGGGTCATGGGGGGCTGGAGCCTATCCCAGCTGACTCAGGGTGAAGGCAGGTTCACCTGGACAGGTAACCAGTCTATCACAGGGCTACACTTAGAGACAGACAACCAAGCACACTCACATTCACACCTACGGACAATTTACAATCACCAATTAACCTCAACATGTTTCTGGACTGTGGGAGGAAGCCGGAGAACCCGGAGAGAACCCACGCTGCACGGGGAGAACATGGAGACTCCACGCGAACCGGCGACCTTCTAGCTGCGAGGCAACGATGCTAACCACTCATGTTGACACCAATCAGATTGAAATAGATGTAGTTTGTCGACTCCGGTGTTGGGAAGTTTCTGGGTTGTTGTGAGTCTCGCTTGACTCGATCTTGGATTTCAACGGGGAATCCTGCTTCGTTTCAACGTGACGTCGTTGCCGTTAATGTGAGCGTTGTGACTCTTTTCTCGGGATTTGGGGAAACAAAGTTCAGCCCCATGAGAATGAAGATTTTTACATGAATCATTTTAAAATGTTTGAAAATAATCGCCTGAAACACTTTGCCGTGTATATACGATATGAATATGGCGGACTACCTTCAACAGTAGATTTTAACTGATGCGAGATGTCCACGTTTCTTACTTTTGTCGGTTCTTCTGTGTTTATGTTGGCCTCCCCGTTCATAACCACAATCCGTATATAAGTTATGGACGAAGCAACTGTTAAAGTCAAGGGTTTGCTTGTGGATCAGGATGTGGACGTCCGACCTCCTGTTTCTTCTCTTGACGGTAGCTGAAGACCACCTCTGGTTTTCAGTGAGGTCAATGTTTGGGGCGTCCATAGCT